GCTTTTCAAATATGAAAATTCCCTTGGTTTCTGTCCGTTGTTTGGTTGACAGTGTTTCTGGATTTTATTTTGATTTTCAAATCTGTCACTGGGATTTTTGTTGACTGGATTGCTGGTTATTATTGTTGTTGTTGTGTTACGTATTGCATGGCTGACTTTCTTCTTCTTATATTGGCAATACCAGGTACACAACTGTAATTTTGGCATTTTGTAAGCTGAAATGAAGAACGGAATGTTAAATTTCTAATTTAGTTTTAATTTTTTTAATTGTATTTAGATTATTTCATGTATTATTATTCTGTAAATCACTGTCATTAGGCATGATTATAGCGATATATTAAATAACGCCTTAACCGGATTATTAGGAAATATATTTAAGCCTGATTATTAATTAAAACTGTTTAATAATCAAAATAGAAGAAATAACGTAAAAATGGCGTTATGGAATCAGTTTGGCAAAAATTGACTAAGTTCTTTATTCATAAGGTTTTTTTTGTCAACGTTAAGTTAATCGGAATCATGTAGTTAATTTCAGTTAAAACATGAATTAGTTTGCGAATCAAGTATTAGGACATGATATGAATTAAAACAAGGTTAGTTAAGGTTAAATTGTTTTAATTTTAGAAATATGGTTTAGTAATCAAGTTTTTTTTTTCAATTTTCAGTATTTGTAAATAATTAATTTCAATAAGCTTAAGTCATACTAATAATATGAATTTTAATCCAACTATGGGATAATTAGTTTTTTTTTTGTTTTTTTTTTGACAATTCCATATTATTTGTAATNTTTGACAATTCCATGTTGTTTGTAATTATAATTTTAGTAATATTACTTTCCATTAATATTTGTTTTAAATTAGTAATTAATATGTTATTTTTAAGTATGTAGAGATTGACTTCATAATTATAGACAAACTTAGTAATAATAAAGATGTAGTCATTAAAGGGTATTCATAAAATAAGGGAGGATCTCGCTAAAAAATAATAAATATAAATAATACAAAAGTTGCAGTCCTCCAATCTTATTTTTTTTTTTTAAAATATAAGAAAATACCTAGATTCCGAGATGGGCAATTTAGTAAAATTCACAGTCCTACCTAATAGTATCATAACGCGTAATATTTTGGCGCATATTTAATAAGGTTTTTTTCTTAAATACGGGTGTACATTTATGCAACCCAAATCACGATCTTGACGAAGTCAAAAATGCGTCAACAAATCACATGTGCACTGGTTGTGGCGTGGTTCGAGATGCGTTTTCACGACGTTGCAATTTTGTATAAATTAAATAATGATAAAAACGGTTTTTAAAAGTTAAATTTGCATATAAGTTCTTAATTGTTTAAAAATCAGATAAATGAGCCAAATACGACAATTGAGCGACCGTGCTAAAACCACGGAATTCGGGAATGCCTAATACCTTCCCAGGTTAACAGAATTCCTTATCCGGATTTCTGGTTCGCGGACTATAATACAGAGTCATTCTTTTCCTCGATTCGGGATTAAAATTGGTGACTTGGGACACCCTAAATCTCCCAAGTGGCGACTCTGAAATAAATAAATAAATCCCGTTTCGATCGTCCTTTAATTGGAAAAACTCCCTTGTACCCTAGCGGGGGCAGAAAAAGGAGGTGTGACATCTATGAGTTTCAGTCGTTGACATCTATTAAGCACCTTACCTTCTTTCGTAGTACTCGGCTAAATAGCTGGCATGGCTTCTGCAGATGAGCCAAGTAATTCTTTGTAGAATTCTACTACTTCACTTTCAGTTGCATCCATTGTTTGTACTATTTCGATGACTCCTAATCTTGTTTTGACTAACTCTATTCTTCATACTGTCAAAGAAAAAAGCAGAGTTTGAGTCTCCCAATTTTAACCATTGGTTTCTGGATTTTTGTTTGAAAATACTTTCTTCAATATTGACCCATTTCTCCAGCTGCTTCTTCAGTTCCTTCTCCTCTTCAAACAAGTTTGAATGTACGTAGTTAGTTCTCATTTTCTCTTATACCTCCTTTAGTTGGTGTCTGGCCTGTTTCACTTTTGCATCAATTGCGGCAAACTCAGTAACATTCAACCTCTTTAACTCTCTTCTTACTTCTTTCAATTTCATCCATACTCCAGGCATTTGTGCTATTTTTTGTCTTTCCCAGACCCTTGCAACTACCGTTAATACTCTTTATGTTCTGCCAAATGGTTGAAGTACTTGAAAGGCCTAGAGTTATGTGGTTCATCTCCAAATTTGACACATAGGGGAGAGTGATTTGAGAAATAAGGATCCATAATTACATCATCCAATTGTGGCATATTGGTTATCCATTCAGAGTTAACTATCGCCCTATCTATTTTGCTAAATACGTGAGAGTTTGTCCACGTGAAGCTTCTCCCTATTGTTCTCATTTCAGACATTCCTGCATTTATTAGAAACTCTTTAAAATCTCAGAGTTCCCATTCTTCTATTGGATTCCTATTGCTTCTGTCATCTACTGATAAGATTGTATTAAAATCACCCGTACATAGCCAAAGGCGGACCTACAAGGGACATAGAGGGGTCAAACGGAACCCGCTAGCCTCGGCAAAAATCGTGTATATATATTTGTATATACGACAAGGACCCCTTAAAAATAATTTTGATGTGCCCCTTCAAACAAAAGATAGATTGCTTTGCTGGTTGGGCATGCAACTTTTATTGCCTTACTAACTATATGACCTGGGTTCGAAACCCAATACTAGCGCTTTATTTGATTATTTTTTTTCTCTTTGATTTCAAGATATAATAGTATCATGTATTTAGTGCTTAACTCAGCTTTTTTCTTTATTTTTTCTAAATTTATGAATAATTATTTTAGCACTAATACATAGTAGTCAACTTCTACACAAAATAGTTTGAAACTCTTTTTGAGAAATATCTTTCTAGACATCGAAAAGGTAAGAAAGAGACATAAAAATATATCAAAAAAAAATTAGAAGGGGAATAAGATATTCCATTACCAAGAAACCAATCACCTTCTTTATCCTGATAATTATTTTTATAAGCATTACCATTTTCTTGACATGTATAAAAATAAGTAATTCAATAAAAAAAATTCCAAAACAGTAATAAAAAACTCCAAAAATCCTTTAGCCTTCAAGGATCACTTCGGCAAAGTAGCAGATATTTGAACGACAGTGACTGAGACTCTGCTTGAACTGCTTAATAGACCTTTAATATTGATCTTATTAGACTAAGTTTTTGATATTTTTGAACATCCTTTCGATCATTGACTCAAAGTCACTAAGTTTTCAAGGAGTTAGCACATCAGATTTTGCCATTACTAGCTGACATATATATGTCAATAGCGGTGCCCCCGCTACATTCAAATACTGGATCTGCCTCTTTACATAGCCAAGGACTTTGTTGAGAGAGGCTCCAACTTAGCAAATCCACCCATAAGCTTTTCCTTGTCTCTACTGCGTGTAATCCATATACAGTTGTGAAAGTGAATTCTTGTCTGCTAGAAAATAAGAGTACCTCTCCATGAATATACTAAGGTTTTCACCTATCATAGTAAAAAAAAAATTATTAGGTCCCCACACTATCCATATCCTTCCTCTGCCTCCAGGTTCATAGTTTGTACACCATTTTCACTTAGGGGCTATATTATTTAGAATCTTACTTGAATACTTTTCTTGCACCCTATGTTATACTATAGCAATAATACTAATACTATTTTCCCTGATAAACCTCTACATCTCCTTTTGCTTATAGACTTTATTCAAGCCTCTAATATTCCAGGTGATCAGCTTCATAAAATAATTGGTCTGGTAGTACAACCTCCTCCAAAACCCCACGACTACGCTGCACTCCTTCCATTCTACTAGTGCCAATACTTGTCTGATGAGCATTTTCTCTAGTAAGAGCAGTAAAACCATTTCTCATAACCAATCTCTCTTCAGCAGCAACATGGTTATTTTTAGCAGCAGATTTTTTCCCTTACTTCCTGCCACTGCTCCTCTTTACCATTTGTTTTCTTTTGAGCTTGGATGTCTTCTTTTATAGCTTGACTAGTTTCTAGTTTCCTATTGTCCACAATTACTTGTGGTCCTTCACTTTCGGTCACTGAGTTGTTCTGCTCCTTAGGTTTCCATTCCTGTCTTTGCTTTGGTTGTTTGGCTTGTTGTTGCTACATTACTATCTTGTTTTGGCAACCCAATTATAAACATGTGTTACAATACACAAGTTTCCAATCATAGTTAACTGCTTGCTCAAATTGTCTTCCATTTGGATCTCTCACTATTATCTTCGTAGGTAATGGCCTGGTAATATTTATTTCCACAAGAATTCTGGCATATGAGGTCCTCTCCACTTTAGTGGTACATTCATCACCAGAAATATGTGTCCCTAGCCCACTTCCAATTCGACTCAAAGAGTCAACTCCCTAGTCGGTCAAAAGTAAGTTTGGGAGCTTAACCCACAAGGGGAGATTCTTCAATACTTCCTCCTTGTTGGAGTCGATGAAGATGACAGAGGCCATTCGGTTTTGGACGTGAGGGTTTGAGGTGGTATTTTGGGCCTTGAGCCTAATTGTTGTGCTACCTAATTATTGTGCTAACAATGCTCCAACAATTGGGCCTGGTCACCCTTAGCCCACTTATGGGTCTGCCCTGTCCAACTATTGTAAGAACATAGTGTATAGCACATGTTATTTTATATTTTACTTATTTTCCCCATACCTTTGTATTTTAATTATTTTCTTCATCCTTTTATTTCTTTTATGTACAACTTTATCCTAGCTAATAGGACATTGCCACTTGGCAATATAGTATGTTGCCCTAAAACATTCATTCTGTATATAAAGTTGGGGTTGTACACTTAATACAATTCAATCATTGAATATACAAAAGAAGAAATCTTCAATTAATTCTCTCATTTTTCATGGTACCAGAGCAGGTTTAATTCTGCTATCTTTTTATGCTTTCTCAGTCATAAATCAGTTTTTCTTCTTCTCTTAAGCTTATCTGCTATGGTTACTTCACCGGAGTCAGCTGATACTCTAGCTTCTGCTTCTGCTGCCACCACTAATGTTCTTGCACCTACAGTTACCATTACTTCAGGAGTGATTGACTCTACTCACCCTTACTACCTTCATCCTTCTGACTATCCAGGGATGAACCTTGTATCCTCAGCTTTTGATGGAAAAGGATATGGAGGTTGGAGAAGGGCAGTTATCATTGCCTTGTCTGCAAAAAACAATCTGGGATTTATCGATGGTACTCTTATTATCCCTAAGGCTGATTCTGTAATCCAGCAGGCCTGGGGTAGATGTAATGATATGGTACTTTCATGGCTTCTCAACTCCCTGTCCAAAGAGATAGCTGAGAGTGTGCTCTATTCACAAAGTGTAAAGGATTTATGGAGTGACCTAGAAGACAGATTTGGACAGGCAAATGGAGCAAAGTTGTTCCAATTACAAAAGGAATTAAGTTCAGTGGTGCAAGGTAATTCAAGTGTATTAACTTACTTCACCAAAATGAAAAGCCTATGGGATGAACTAGATGCACTCAATACATTTTCTGCTTGTGTTTGTGAGTGTGAGTGTGGTGCAAAAGTCAAAAGCTTGAAAGCACACAAAGATGAGAGACTATTACAGTTCCTAATGGGACTAAATAATATATTTATTGGGGTAAGGAGTAACATATTATTGTCATCACCTTTACCTTCCATTGGACAGGCATACTCTCTTGTGATTCAAGATGAGAAACAGAGGGAGATACATGCTACCCCTGCATACTCAGGGGAATCTGCCTCATTCATTACTGCAAACCAACTAGGAAATTTCAGAAAAATTAATGAGAACAGGATGCAGAAAATAAGTTTTGAATCTAAGAAATATTTAGGAATTTGTTCCTATTGCAAAAAGCCTGGACATAGCATACAGAAGTGCTATAGAATTCATGGGTTTCCAGCTGATTTCAAGTTCACAAGGGAGAAAAGATTTCAAGAAGGTGCCCAGGAAAACAAAGCTTCCTTTTCAAATGAAGAAAATGAACAGGGAGCAGAAAGTGCATCAGGAGTTCAGAATCTCACCAAGGAAAATGTGGCTGAGCTGCTGCATCTTCTTCAGCAAGTGAAAGTGGGACAAAACAGTGCAGGAACCTCTGATGTTGCAGCAAATGTGAGCTATGCTCGTATGACCAATTTATTTGAAGATTTAGCCTGTTTAATTCAAATCAATGATGAGTCTTGGATATTGGATAGTGGAGCAACAAAACATATGTCTTTCAACAAAGATTTTTTTACAGATTTAAAAACCTTGGCTAAACCTCTCATGGTAAAACTCCCAAACTCTTACAGAATTCAGGTCACTCATTCAGGAACTATTTTTCTTTTGCCTAATCTGATTCTTCGAAATGTTCTTTACATTCCATCCTTCAAATATAATCTGTTGTCTGTGCACAAGTTGTGCAGACAACTCAAGCAATATGTTTTATTCACACCTTTTTTATGTTTTCTTCTACAGGACCCTTCAATGAAGAGCCCACTGGAGATTGGTAAAGAGGAAGGGGGCCTCTACATTCTCAGATCCAGACATACAACACCAGTGTCTAAGAGTTCACCTAAGTTTAGAAGTGTTTTTATTCCAAGAAGGAATTCTGTTTCCAATCATAGTTTGCGTTCATGTTTTAGTTTTTCTGATTCAATTGTAAAAGAGAAGCTGTGGCACTACAGATTAGGCCATATGCCCTTTAACAATATGAAAAATGTTTCATCAGTTTCTATATCCAAGTGTTCCAAATTCTCCACTCCATGTGTTATTTGTCCTATGGCAAACGTCCTTTTCCCTCTAGTTCTATTTCTACTAAGAAAGTGCTTGAATTAATTCATGTGGATACCTGGGGACCATACAATAGTGCTACATATGATGGCTTTAAACATTTTCTTACAATTGTTGATGACTTCAGTAGAGGCACATGGACCTACCTACTAACCAACAAATCCAATGCATTCACTATTCTAAAAGGTTTTATAGCTATGGTAGAAAGACAGTTTAACAACAAGGTGAAAACTATAAGGTCGGATAATGCTTTTGAATTGGGAAGTGGTAAAGTTCAATCAGAATTTTTTGAGTCACTAGGTATTATTCATCAAACCACTTGTGTGTCCAGACCACAACAAAATGGAGTTGTGGAGAGAAAACACAGGCATCTTTTAGAGACATCCAGAGCCTTGTTATACCAATCACACCTGCCTATATCATACTGGGGTGAATGCCTTCTTATAACGACCTATTTGATCAACAGATTTCCTTCAAGTGTCTTAAAGTTTAAGACTCCTTATGAAGTTCTTTTTTCAAGCAAGCCAAAGTACTTTAACCTTAGATGCTTTGGGTGTTTATGTTTTGCTTCTACTGTCTCAAATCAAAGAACTAAGTTTGAACCAAGGGCTATACCTTGTGTGTTCTTAGGTTATCCTCATGGAAAGAAGGGTTACAAAGTGTTGAACCTCGAGAATTTGAAGCCTTTCATTTCTGGAGATGTTGTATTTCATGAAGAATTCTTTCCATTTGCTTCTATTAATTCTAATTCTTCTTCTGAGATTTCTTTACCCACTGATCCAGTTTCTGCAAGTCATCAGACTCCTGAACCTTTACCTTTTGCTATCAGACCTCACACTAAAGCTTCCAAAGAGGCTACTGAATCATCAAGTGACTTCTGTTCTTCCCCCATTTCTTCAAATCATCCTAGTACACTTATTCCCTCTATCTTTACTTCTAGTTTCTCTCCAGATTCTCCAGTAACATCTAGTCAACCACATACATCTGCACCAGTTTTTCCTTCTTTGGATTCTGATTCTATGATGGATGTTCTTATTAGGAAGTCTACTAGACCACACACAACTCCATCTTATCTCAAGGATTTTATCTGTAATGCACTCCAACTCACAGATGTTAGCAACTCTTGCTTACTCACACTAGTTACACCTACTTGTATATCTTTCAGTGGACTATCTTCTACCAATCAACATATGCTAAACACATTGTCCAATATACAAGAACCTACGGACTATTTACAGGCAACACATCACCCAGGGTGGCAAGAAGCAATGAATAAAGAGATTGAGGCACTTGAACTTAATAAGACTTGGGAAGTGGTTGAATTACCACCCGGGAGGAAAGCTTTACCATGCAAATAGGTGTATAAGGTTAAACACCATTCAGATGGGAGTGTGGAAAGACTAAAGGCAAGATTGGTCATTAGAGGAGACATACAAAAAGAGGGAATAGACTTCAATGAAACTTTTTCACCTGTGGAGAAGATGACCACAATCAGATACATACTGGCCACTTTTTCACCTGTGTCATTTCCTGTTTTTCAGGAACGGACGAAGCACGTTGAAATCGATTGTCATTTTGTACGCGACCAATACCTTGCTGGGCTGATTTCGTTAACCTTTGTTCGATCTTCTGCCCAGTTGGCAAGTTGGGTGTGTTTTCTACCCCCCTCCAACTTGAGGGGGGGTGTTGGAGTCGATGAAGATGACAGAGGCCATTCGGTTTTGGACGTGAGGGTTTGAGGTGGTATTTTGGGCCTTGGGCCTAATTGTTGTGCTACCTAATTGTTGTGCTAACAATGCTCCAACAATTGGGCCTGGTCACCCTTAGCCCACTTATGGGTCTGCCCTATCCAACTATTGTAAGAACATAGTGTATAGCACATGTTGTTTTATATTTTACTTATTTTCCCCATACCTTTGTATTTTAATTATTTTCTCCATCCTTATATTTCTTTTATGTACAACTTTATCCTAGCTAATAGGACATTGCTACTTGACAATGTAGTATGTTGCCCTAAAACATTCATTCTGTATATAAAGTTGGGGTTGTACACTTAATACAATTCAATCGTTGAATATACAAAAGCAGAAATCTTCAATTCATTCTCTCATTTTTCACTCCTTGAAATCAAAGTGAGGAGCCCATGCCTTAGTGATCACCGGCTTGGTATTGATTGTACTTGGCCCTGAATATAACACTTCATTCCTTTCTTTTATACTACTAAATTTAACAATAAAGAATCCTTCATTGTGATAGTATACTTTTGGCTTTGTTACAAAATTCCACTGGAACGCGATAAATCTTTCAACAACTCCAATACTAGGTGTATCTCCAATTACGTACATGATTACCGCCTTCCTCCATTTCTCTGTTTCCTTCTCAACTTCAGCTTGCTGCAATTCTATTATTTTTTCCCCATTGTGTATCATTGGAGGTACATAGGTGAGCCACATTCCTCTAGCCACATAGGTATTCCTTGCCACTAGGTTAGCCCATGGTTTGGATTCAGTAGTAGTCCTTGTCCCAGCTGCTTTGGCTTTCTCACACCCAGTGTCTCCAGTTCCTTTGCATCCCTCTTTGTCTATCACCAAGACATGCATAGTTCCTTTAGGATTTACACTCAATTGTAATTTCCTTTGAGCGCTTAATCCTTCGCTGTGTGATTTGTTGCCAGCATTTCCCCCAATATCCAGCAATTGATCCATGTTATTATTAGGGCCAACACTTACCCCTGCAATCGTCTTACTCCCCTGCCTGTTTGATCCATCAACTTCAGGGTGTATTCCTTCTATCTGCTTGTCTTTGTTCCCGCTCTCTGAGCTGCGATTTTGATTTGCAGTTGAAGCACTCACCATCAATCCTCCAATTGATTTTGGAGTAATCATCCCCTTCTCGCGAATCAGGGTTTCGTGTGTTGGCGTTACTTTCACTTATTCTCCATTTCGACTAGCTGATGCTATGAATTTCGCTAATTAAACCTTTGTACTGCTTTTCTTAGGTCTTCCTCTGCCTCCCATGGCCGACAGTGCAAGATAGCAATCACACTAAATTACGCCGAGAGCACGAAAATGAAAGGGAAGACGTTGTTTCTTCCAATAATTCGCTTTGTGATTCTTTTGTATCATATTTGGACAATATAAATTTCGACACAGAATGAATCCTCTTCCCTCTTAGTTACTAGCTCTGCCCCTGTTCTTGAACCTTAGAAGATATTTAAGAACAATAACTGTGGTACCAAATTAAATGGCTTTATATGGGTTGAACTCAAGAATTCAATCATGTCACTCTGCACATGGGTGCCGGAACTTACATGGGAATCATACAATGTCGTTGTCATGGTTGGAAAATACCATCTTTTATATATGCTATACGTGCAATTTTAGAGTAACATGACATTAAACACTACAAAATGTAATTTATTAGGTATCACTGGCAGTAGAATATCGTCGTAAATTCATAGCAAACAAAGGACGACCACTCAATGTCACCACGAATTTAGCTTCTAAATTAAACCACCTTAGAGTCTTTAGATTGCGCTTAATTTAAGGTAATTTATTGATATTGGATTTCTGGAAAATGGTAAAACTGTCAACTTAATTTAGATGCTTGGTAGAAATTATTGCAGAATTATACACCATAATTATTTGTTTTAGATTATTTACCCGATACGACAGGGACATACAAACAGAGGACATGCCGATCAAAATAATCTCTACAGATGATTGCAAAAATACTAGTACAATTATTTCATAAAATATCACTAAAACAATCAGTGGCTAAAACAAAACTGAATCCAATACAAGCTGGTATACAAAATTAAAAATTGGTCCATCGCAAGTTATTTTAATCGTAGTATAAACTCCAATGTATTAAAGAGAAAACTCAACAACCTCCTCAATTCGATCGGCTAATTTAAAGAAAAATGGCCAAGGCAATCGAGGATAAACCGAGCAGGAAACTGGCAAACACGGTCGTTGAGGATGAAGGAGGAGGAGGAGGAGCAATACCACCAGGAACAGAACCTGAAGGTCCAGCAGCAAATGATGTAGGTGGGTTGGCTCCTGGAGTACCAGTACTGCTGGATACTGTAATGGCCAATTTCTGGCCATTTTGGCAATGCCGGCCAAAAGTGCAAATGTAATAGCGTTCTCCAGCAGAGTCAAGAGTTACATTTGCTGGTCCACTCACTATAGCACTGCCTATGGCATTTTGTGAACTGCACCCATCGAACGAGGCTTTTGGTACTTGTAATACGTCATGTGTGTTGGTCATAAAATTGAAAACTGTTAAAAAGAATTGACAAGAAAAGCTAAGTAACATTATAGGAGACTAAATTTAGCTTAAGCCAAAGGTTATAGCATATCTCAAAGTAAAATGGAAACACAGAATTAAGCATACCTAAAGTGTCACCAACCATAAAGGTTTTTCCAGCAGCCCAGTTTGTGTAAGCTGATGCGCCACTACTTGGTATGGTCCAACCTTCGTTGTCCCCGACCACATGCGCCGTTTGGGCTGTCGTGAGTTGAACCAAACTTGCCAAGGCTAAAGCACCAAACAGAACCATGCGCATAATCATGTCCATGTCTCTGTTTTTTGGTTGCTTTTCTTTTTAAAGAAGATTTTTGGAAGAAATCCTATCAGAACTGAGGAAGTGTTTGGTGAGATGCCTACAGCAATATGGCTTTCTATATATAAGAGAAGGATTTTGAATTGGTCTAAACTCTTAACGTGTGCATGGTGCTAGGTCTTGAATTTCAAACGTAGAAAAAGTGGTGGGAAATCAAAGCAGGAATTTAATGCTTGTTGGACAATTGGGACATAATAAAAAATGAATGAGCTAGAAATAAGGACCCAAAATAGAAAAGTAGAACGCGGCTAATTCAACTCCCAAACACAATCAAATGAAGCAAGTCAATATATATGGACACTTGACTTGAGCCTTTCCTATTACGATACGTGGGAGTACTATTTTTGCTATACTATTTACGAAGTTTATATATAGCTGATAGGTAAGTTCCTCAACTATATTAAAACATACCAACAAAAAAAATCAGAGTAAAGCTCTTTTAGATTTGATTTATTTTCAAAGGATGGTGATAATTGACTGAGCACATTCCAAACAATATTAAAGTCCTCCAAACGACGTTCAATAAATTGATTTTCTAAAATATAGCTTCTAGAATTGTGAGACCTTTTAGTATTGCCAGGGTACTTGCTGAAATGTTGGAATTTCACTTTCCAAGTTTACACTTCTTACTTTTACCTGTAGCTTGTGATTAACTGAATTTTAGGCTTTTCTAATTAATATATGCTGAGAGTCCGTTAGTGATAAGGGCAAATATGAGACAATTTTCTGACGACAAGGGTATGAATCAACCCCAAATATAATACATGATAAAATTGAATAATTTCTATAGTGCAGACAAATTTGGATCTTAATTTTCCCTTAACTCAATGCTATGATAGTGTAATAAAAGGACTACACTGAGGCAACGTAACCAGACTTTACAATGTAGCCTTTGAATAAGTTGGTTGAAATACATAGGAAAAGAATGTTAATAGACTATCTATTCATATCTATACTATATTAAAAGCACGAAAGTCCTTAGCGAAATGTCGTTTGCTTTTTTTACCATTTAAAAATAGATTTCGGAATAGATAAAATAGTAATTTAAGTTATTTTCCTAATATTTAGGACTTAAAAATCAACTAAACTTTGGCTATTAAATTTTTCCTTATTGAATTTGGTCATAATAATTAGGAGTTTAATTCAATTGAGATTTTACATCAAATAAAGATAAAGAAAGGATCCCTTTATTTTAAAATAGTACTATTTCATATTATTCTATGAACTCTAAAAGATCTATACCCAAGGTTCCTTTATGATAAAATAACTTTTTTCTTTTTCTTTTAGACAACAGTATAGTTGTAATCATGATTTTATCATTAATGTAATATAACTAAATCATCCTCGGCACAAGACAAATAACTCTATAATACAGATAAAATATATAACATAAATATAATAGGCAACCAGTTTCGCGTATATACACAAGAACTTCATATTTTTACCTATCTATATACATTTGGTAATAAACATAAAAATAATATGATTTGTATTATTACGCACATGTCTTTATATTTAATATTATTAGTAAATCATAACTAATCAATACATATTCTCACTTTAATTATCATTTAATCATGGTAAATTAATATAGTTTAGTTTTTGTATATTTATTAATGATTCTTTATTTTTCATCTATGTGATAACTTTTTCCCTTGTTGAGTTAGTTATATAAAATTAATATTCTTCATTTTCAGGGCTCACGCATTTATTTTATAATTCAACATAATTTTAAATAAAATATTTATATAATTTGTTTACTCATTTAGATAATGGTACACGCGTCTATATCAATATCTATATCTATAGTCTATTACAAGCATGTAGACCCTAAATAAAATGCCGTTCGCCTTTATTATCTTTTAAATATTAATTTAACACCGGACAAAAGTGTCATTTAATAATTTTGTTAATACTTAGGACTTTCAATTAGTTACTAAAAGTTAATTACAAAAGGATATATATTGCTTTAATCGAGATCATGTGCCTAAACGCACGGAGAAAATTCCATATTCTTTTGTTTGATTTTTATCTTTCCGAAAGTTCAAGTTTTAGTGTTTGCTTTATGTAGTTTCATTGTGGTGCACTACAGATATCCTGTAATAATTATTGTAAATATTTGTACAATATTTTTGCAAAAAAATATTAAACTATAATATTATTCGGTAAAATCTCGCCATTCTTAATAGTTCTTTTCTATTAACAAGACCGATAGATATTATTTATAATTACATGAATATTCTAAACACATTATTAGTAGATGCAAAATTACACGCGCAAAGCGCGCAGGGGCGGATGCTCCTTGGTGTATTTAATAAATATATTTTTTAATAAATATATGTATTTAATTATTATATAAATACAAGATATGATACAAAATGCGTAAAAGGATAACACTAGAAACAATTTGCTCTTCAGCCTGCCTGATTAAGTGCCGCTTATAAAAAGTTCGAATCTCTAGCAGCTTGAATGTTATAAAATTTTGAGCACCATGGCAAAAAGTTCGGCTAAAATATATTTTAGCCAACTTAAAACCCTATTTTGAAAAAACTACTCATTCTCTACATTTGCAATTTCTGAAAATTGGGCATGCTGCTTGTGTTTCTATTATAAGTCACCTTGATACTTTTTTCTTTCTCGACGATAAAGTTGAGTAATAGAACTAATTTACTGAATCAAATGGTTGTTGATTTTTTGAATGGTTATTTGGTGCCTTATATTAATATTATTTCTAATGAAGTTATTATAAATAAATTTCAAAAAGTGAATACTCTCAATAGACTTATAGTAATATACTTGAATTGTATTTTATTATTATAATATGTTTTGTTAATATGATGTCGTTATAGAGAGATTTATTTACTTATTCACTTTTTAAATATCGACCGCTTATGAAAAGTTCTGTATACGCCCATGAAAGCGCGTACACTAATACTAGTATGCTATATTAAAAGCACGAACACCCTTAGCGAAATATCGTTCGCCTTTTTTACCCTTCTAAAATAGAGTTCACACTGAACAAAATAGTCATTTCATTACTTTTATAATATTTAGGAGTTTAAAATTAGCTAAAATTTTGATTATTAGATTTTTTTTGTCCTATTTGGTTTGTGAAGGAAGTGTGAATGGTAGAAGTTAAAACAAGAATCAGAGAAAAATAAACTGTTAGAAAAACAAAGAAATCTAGAAAACAATAAAGAATCAGAAATATTCCGAGTCCACAATTTTCTTGTGCGTCCTTAAGGAATTTTAACCCCCTCACACGTTGCCAAGGTAATGGATTAAATCCTCCCAGGATNAAAATAGTAAAGAATCAGAAATATTCCGAGTCCACAATTTTCTTGTGCGTCCTTAAGGAATTTTAACCCCCTCACACGTTGCCAAGGTAATGGATTAAATCCTCCCAGGATAAAACGGAATAAACCTTCCTGCAACAGTGGCAATACAAACTGCAGGATACCAACGAACTCAAAGAACGGAGCAAAATCATACTTACGAATTTGAGAGAGAGAGACTGTGAATTAGGATGCAGTATATTCAGAAAGAAAGTTCTAGAATGTTTTTCATGTGTAGAAAATGGAGCCTTGCCTCAGAATTTATAGGCAATTATCAGAAGAGGTGTCTGGAAAAGGTGACTTTTCAGAAGAATACGCTGCCTGCCGCGGTTCTACCGCGACCGCGGAAGAACCGCGGTCAGAGAGGCTTTCTGAATCTGCCTGTCGCGGTTCCACCGTGGTCACGGTAGAACCGCGGCCAGAGAGCCCCTCTGAATCTTCAGCAGGATTCTGGCGTATTTCCAGCAGTGATTTGGCATTTAATTAATTATTAAATAATTAAATAAATTTTGTCCAAAAAAATAATCTTATCGATCGATCCAAATCCAAAGCCGAGCCGAGCGAGCGACGACGACGATGGTGCGAGGGTTCATTCTCTTCAACTCCTTTTAAGAGCTTTAAGAAGTGATTCTATATATAAGCACACAAATGTTGTTGTCTCTCACCAATGAGGGACAAAGTGCAAGACAAAAGTTCACTTCTTCAAATTTTTCATTTTCCCTCCATTTTATTTCCCTCCATTTCCAATTCACACTTCTTCTACTTTAAAGCCCAATGGCTTAAAGTCCAACAATCCCCCACATGAATGAGAATGGTTGTATCAAGAAAGATCATAGATGAAAGCTATGTGATTTTGCAAGTAAGGATTAATTGCATCTGGATAAGTAGGTTTCCCTTTGAACTTTCCGTAGTGAACATATGTCGGATATACTCGGTCAATCGGTAGATTTGATATCTTTGAACCGTCGAACTTTAGTGTATACCTAGACA